TTTAATTCGTTCCAGAGAGTCTGATGAAAACCAAATTCAATGAAAACTAAAGCAATATTTCCCATGAGAAATACAGTGGACCCCCAGATATCGGCCGGTGCAGATATCAGCCAAATCAGATTTTGGCCACTCATTTGGCCGAAATTCTATCCTGGGTTTTGGCCGGCAACTCGGAAATCGGCCATATTGGACGCATCCGCCCACCACGCCACATGCATGAGTCAGTCTGGTTGTGTCTCTTGGTGAGTGAGCAGCACTCCGCACATTTATCCAACCATTTCGTTGTAATCCATTGTTTTTTGGGTTGTTTATTGAGTGCAACTGCAAAATAAGCCACTGTGGGCCCAAGAGCTAACCACTGAAGAGCTGCAAGACCTTCATCTGGAACAGCAACAGACCACAGCTGAGAAAATTGGTTCAGAGGAGGAGGAGGAGGAAGAGAGAAGGGAGAATGTGCCTTCCTCAGTGATTAAGGACATCTGTGCAATTGGAGGGATGTGCAAACTTTTGTTGAAAAATATCACCCTGATCAATTTCAAAAAGCCATATCTGCAACATGTTCAGTCAGTGACAAAATCTTGTTCCACTTCAGGCAAATCTTCAAGAGACGCCAGAAACAGCTCTCTGGACAGTTTTTTTTATGCGACAGGGGTGCAGTGACTCTCAAGCTGGTCCTAGTGGCAGTAAAAGACAAAGAAGGGAAGTAACCCCGGATAGGGACTTGATACCTGAAGTCCTTAAAGAGGGGGATTCCCCTTCCAAACAATAATCAGTCCTCCCTCTCTCCTCCTCCCTGTCTTCCATATGCCAACAAGAATCTTCAATAAATGTAAAGGACATAATAGAAAAGTATGAGAGTGGAGTGCCTATCTCAGAGTTGCAACAGTTATACAACAAACCCCATTCAACCATCACTACTATCTTGAACAACAAAAAGGCAATCAAGGAAGCTGTTGTTGCAAAAGGTGCAAGTGTGCTTGCAAAACAGAGATCGCAAATACTCGAAGATGTGGAGAGACTGTTGTTGGTGTGGATAAACAAGAAAACTTTTTTTTTTTTTTTAACAAGTCGGCCGTCTCCCACCGAGGCAGGGTGACCCAAAAAGAAAGAAAATCCCCAAAAAGAAAATACTTTCATCATCATTCAACACTTTCACCACACTCACACATAATCACTGTTTTTGCAGAGGTGCTCAGAACACAACAGTTTAGAAGCATATACGTATAAAGATACACAACATATCCCTCCAAACTGCTAATATCCCAAAACCCCTCCTTTAGAGTGCAGGCATTGTACTTCCCATTTCCAGGACTCAAGTCCGGCTATATAAAAATAACCGGTTTCCGTGAATCCCTTCACTAAATATTACCCTGCTCACTCTCCAACAGATCGTCAGGTCCCAAATACCATTCATCTCCATTCACTCCTATCGAACACGCTCATGCACGCCTGCTGGAAGTCCAAGCCCCTCGCCCACAAAACAATTATCAGGAAATAGTATTTCTCAGTCAATAATGTGTGAAAAGGCAAGGCAGTTGCATGAGGATCTCATTAAGAAAATGCCTCCAAATAGTGCTGCTGTTGATGAATTTAAGGCCAGCAAAGGCAGGTTTGAGAGATTTAAGAATTACAGTGGCATACACAGTGTGATAAGGCATGGTGAGGCTGCCAGTTCTGACAAAAAAGTAGCTGAAAAATATGTGCAGGATTTTAAGGAGTACATAGACACTGAAAAATTAAAACCTCAACAAGTGTTTAATTGTCACGAAACAAGCCTGTTTTGGAAGAAAATGCCAAACAGGACCTACATTACTCAGGAGGAAAAGGCACTCATAGGACACAAGCCTATGAAAGACAGGCTAACTCTAATGCTGTGTAGTAATGCTAGTGGGGATTGCAAAATGAAGCCTTTACTCGTGTATCACTCTGAAACTCCTAGTGTGTTCAAGCAAAACAATATCGTCAAGACTAAATTGTGTGTGATGTGGAGAGCAAACAGTAAGGCATGGGTCACTATAGACATGTTTACTGACTGGTTCTATGACGTGTTTGGCCCCACTGTGAAACAGTACCTCCTGGAAAATAAATTGGAACTCAAGTGCCTCCTGGTAATGGACAATGCTCCTGCTCATCCTCACGACTTGCAAGATCAAATTGCGGGGGAGTTGAGCTTCATCTAAGTGAAGTTTTTGCCTCCTAATACCACTCCTCTCCTCCAGCCCATAGACCAGCAGATAAATTCAAATTTCAAAAAACTGTACATCAAAGTAGATTCAAAAGTACTTTGAGGTGACCTCAGACACTGAATTGACCCTAACAGAGTTCTGGAAAGATCGCTTCAGTATCCTCAGCTGCAAAAACCTTATAGGTAAGGCTTGGGAGGGAGTGACTTGCAGGACTTTGAACTCTGCTTAGAGAAAATTGTGGCCACAATATGTACAAGAGAGGGATTTTGAAGGGTTTGGGGCTGACCCTAAGGAGCCTATGCCAGTTGTGGAATCTATTGTTTTCACAAAAAGCATTTTTGAATATAAATGTATCTTTGTATTATACAAATTTTGATTCATTTATAATTAATATTCTACTCTACAACTATGAAATAATTACTATCCTACTGTACAACTATGATATACTCCTTAGTGTTAATTAACTAGACTGTAAGCCAATAATGTTAAGTTGGCCCATAATGCCTAGGCATAATAGAGGCTCTCTTTGCATTGCAACCCACTATTGTAAATACAAAATCTCAATGTAATGTTTGCAAAGACATAAAATAAATAAATAAATAAATAAATAAATTGTGGCATTGGGGAAGTCCATGGGGTTGGAGGTTAGTGGCGAGGATGTGGAAGCGTTGGTAGACGACGACGATGAAGAACTAACCACTACAGAGCTGCAAGAGCTTCAGGTGCAACAGCAACAGACCACAGCTCAGGGATTTCCTTCAGAGGAGGAGGAAGAGAGATGGAGGAAGTTGCCTTCGTCAAAGATTAAGGAAATGTGTACAATGTTTACAAAGTTGCAAGCATTTATGGATGAATATTATCTTGACACAGCTGTTGCAAGCCATATTGGCAACTTGTACAATGACATTCTTGTGGCCCATTTTAGGGAAATCTTAAAGGGACACGAGAAACAGAGCTCTCTGGACAGATATTTTACACGACAGGGGTCCAGTGACTCTCAAGCTGGTCCTAGTGGCATTAAAAAATAAAGAAGGGAGGTAACCCCAGAAAAGGACTTGTTATCTGAAGTCTTTATGGAAGGGGTTTCCCCTTCCAAACAACAGAACACCTGCATCCTCTGCCCTCCTGTCTCATCACTCATCAACAAGTCCACAATAAGGGTAAGTGTGATGTTATTATTGTTTTATTGTGCATGTATCATTGTTTTCTGTGTAGGGAAATGTATATTTCATGTAAAAAAAATTATTTTGTTCAATACTTTTGGGTGTCTGGAACGGATTAATTGGATTTCCATTATTTCTTATGGTGAAAATTAATTCGGTTAAAGGCTAAATTGGTTAAAGGCTAACTCTCTGGAATGGATTAAAGACATTAACTGAGGGTCCACTGTAAATATAAAGCACTAATTTTAATGGATAAATGAACATTTAAATCAGTTTTACCTTTACTTAAAACTCTTGTTTGTCCGAACTTGCAGCCTCGCCATACCTTAACACACTGTGTATGTCAAATCGCTTCTTGAAGTTGTTGAACCAGTCTCTGCAGGCCTTAAATTAACTAACAGCAGCACTTATTCCAGGCATATTCTTTATGAGATCCACATGCAACTGCCTTGCCTTTTTGCAAATTATTGCCTCCAGAACACTATCTCCCGCTAACTGTTTTTTGCTGATCCACACCAACAACAACTTCTCAACATAGTCGATTGTTTGCGATCTCTGTTTCACTGGCACACTTACCCCTTTCATAACTTCAGATTTCTTATTTCTTCGCCAGGATGGAACTGATCATTGATGAGGGCTTCCTGTATATCCTAGCAAGATCAACCACACATACACCACTTTCGTACTTTTCTACAAGTTCTTCCTTGAATTGCATTGTGTTACTCACCTTCTTTATCAAAGGGCTGGCAGTCAGAACTTTCTTAAGCCCCAAGGTGGCTTATTTAGCAGTCCCACTCAATGAACATGCACAAAAAAAAAAAAGATTACGAAATGTTTCGTATGAACGCAGAGGGTAATGTTCAATCGACAAGAAACAAAGCGAGACTGACTAAAAATGTGTGCATGGGATGCTTTGTGTGGGGTGTGGGTGCGTGGACACATTCGGTACGGCGGGCAAAAACCAAGGCGATGAACAAAAACTGGGGCAATATTTTGACGAAAAAATTTGTCGAAAACAAATTTAACGAAAACCAGGGCAAACGAAAACCAAGGTTCCACTGTAACCACTGCAACATATGGGCACCTGGTGAACCTACAGAAAGTGTTTTGACATCTATGAAAGAAGTCATTCACAACTCTGTACACCATGTATGTCAGGCCCATACTGGAGTATGCAGCACCAGTATGGAATCAACACATGGTCAAGCACATCAAGAAATTGGAGAAAGTGCAAAAGTTTGCAATAAAACTAGTCCCAGAGCTAAGGGGTATGCCCTACAAAGAGAGGTTAAGAGAACTTAACCTGACGACAGTAGAGGACAGGAGGGACGGGGGAGAGGGTATGTGATGACATAAAATACTGAGAGGAACTGACAAGATGGACAGGGACAGAATGTTTCAGAGATGGGACACAGGAATAAGGGGATACAACTGAAAGTTAACAACTCAGATGAGTCATATTGATGTTAGGAAATATTTCTTAAGCCTTAGAGTTGTCAGGAAATGGAACAATCTGGAGAGTGAAACAGTGGAGGCAGAATCCAAACATAGCTTTAAGATGAGGTACAATAAGGCTCAATGAGCAGGAAGAGTGGACCTAGTAGTGACTAGCAAAGAGGTGGGGGACAGGAGCTATGACTCAACCCTTGCAACACACAATGAGCAAGTACAAATAGGTGGATACACATGTACTGTACTGCCTTCATTTGGGAATGAATACTTTATTCAAGACGTAATTAATTACCATACACGAATCAGTTAATTAATATGGTTTACCTTAAAAAATCCAGACACAGCTAAAGCTACCATCTTAGACTGACGAGTTTCCAGGGCTAATTGTAGTGCCCTTAAACACAAAGCTCGTAACTCATGAGGAGGTGAGCCCAATAACCCAGCCTGATTTTCCAACAAATCTGTAACAAGACAAAAAATTAAAAATCATGTTTATTAATTTATTATTTTTAACAGTAGTAAAAAAATACATTGGCAATAATAGTTTAAATTACTGTACTCAGTTTTCTAAATATCAGTTAACTGCTTGTACAAAACCAGCTACTGTATGTCTACACAAAGCCACCAGCAGTCTATAATGTACTGAATAATTTTCAATAAGAACTGTATACTGTACTTACCACGAGCTTCAGTGCAGGCCTGGTGGATCTGAGCATGTTTACTACATGATACTTCATGAAGAAGCTGGTCTAGAACTTCTTCCATGATGAATACTAAATGAGAAGTCAATAAGTGATTATAGGGGCCTCACAGTTTTTAATTTTTTACAACAGTTTTATACAGCAAATTATGTCTCATTTAACCTAGGATAACCCAATACAGTCAAGATATATTTCCTTTTTTTACAAGGCAGGTGAAATTGCTGACCTAGAAAATATACAGAGAACCTTCACGGCGCGCATAACGGAGATAAAACACCTCAATTACTGGGAGCGCTTGAGGTTCCTAAACCTGTATTCCCTGGAACGCAGGCGGGAGAGTTACATGATTATATACACCTGGAAAATCCTAGAGGGACTAGTACCGAACTTGCACACGAAAATCACTCACTACGAAAGCAAAAGACTTGGCAGACGATGCAACATCCCCCCACTGAAAAGCAGGGGTGTCACTAGCACGTTAAGAGACCATACAATAAGTGTCAGGGGCCCAAGACTGTTCAACTGCCTCCCAGCATGCATAAGGGGGATTACCAACAGACCCCTGGCAGTCTTCAAGCTGGCACTGGACAAGCACCTAAAGTCGGTTCCTGACCAGCCGGGCTGTGGCTCGTACGTTGGTTTGCGTACAGCCAGCAGTAACAGCCTGGTTGATCAGGCTCTGATCCACCAGGAGGCCTGGTCACAGACCGGGCCGCGGGGGCGTTGACCCCCGGAACTCTCTCCAGGTAAACTTCAGGCATGCTGTATTTTCCGGCATATATGGCACACAAGTTTTAAAACTTTATTACTACGATGAACTGCATGTCCATTATAAAACACCATTTGCCAGTAACCCAAAGCCTACCCTTGACCTTGACATTGAGCACATAAGGTGCAGGGTGATTTTCCAAGACTTTTCTTGGGGTAAAAGATGTACATTACATGCCGGAAAATATGGTATATAGATACCATCTACTCTTAATGCTACGTTTACAGGATACTCAATACAAACATTAACCGAGAGCTTAAATTCTTTCTGAAGATCTGCAACAGAACACACAGACACATTACAGAGAATGAGCATTTCTTTGGTATTCCACATACACAGCTCAACCTTTTAAAAAACTCCAAACAAATAAAAGTCTCAAAAATATAGAACTTGCTCTCGGAAAATACTAGAAACTCCATGACACTTTTTAGTATTTCATTGTTATTCTGTGGTGTTTTCAAATATTTTCATTAAAAATAAGTAATCATGGCCCCAAGAAAGAGTAGTGCTCCAAACAAGCCTGAAAGGAAAGCAGTGAGAACAACAATTAAAGTGAAAAAAGAACTCATTGCAAAGTGGGAAAGTGGAGCGTGTGTTGAACCTGGCCACTCAATATGGTATGACGAAATGCACCATATCATCCATATTGAAAAATAAAGAGGCAATAAAAGGAGCTGATGTAGCAAAATGAGTGAAAATTCTTGCTGTGATAAGGTCACAGATAATTGAAGAAATGGAAAAACTTTTGTTAGTGGATTAACAAAACACAACTGGCCAATGACAGAGTTTCTGAAACAATAATTTGTGAAAAACCAAAGTAGTTATATAGTGATCTTAGGTGAGACACTCTGGGAAACAGTGCTGAAAGTGATGAATTTAAAGCAAGTAGGGACTGGTTTGAAAGGTTTAAAAAGAGAAGTGGGATTCATGGCATAGTAAGGCAAGGGGAGGCTGCCAGTGCTAACAGGGATGAGGCTGAAAAGTTTGTTAAGGAATTGAAAACCTATGTAAACACTGAGTGATTTATTCCTCAATAAGTTTTTAACTGTGATGAAACAGACCTCTTTTGGAAAAGAATGCCTAAGAGAACCTACATCACACAAGAAGAAAAATCATTACCAGGACACAAGCACATGAAAGACAGGCTAACACTCTTGTTGTGTAGTAATGCTAGTGGGGACTGCAAAATTAAGCCATTGCTAGTCTACCACTCTGAAAATCCAAGGGTGTTTAAGAAAAACAATGTGATAAAAAGTAAACTCAGTAGAGAGCTAATAGTAAAGCTTAGGTAACAAAGTTCTTCTTCACTGAGTGGATACATGAAGTGTTTGCCCCAAGTGTGAAGCAGCACCTTGCAGAAAAAAACTACCATTAAGGGCACTTCTGGTAATGAACAGTGCTCCTGCTCACCCTCCAGGCTTGGAGGAAAATTTGGTGGATGAATACAACTTCATTAAAGTGAAGTTCTTGTCCCTTAACACCACTCCTCTTATCCAACCCATTTACCAGCAGGTAATTTCCAATTTTAAGAAACTTTACACAAAAGCACTGTTTACAACATGCTTTGAAGTGACCTCTGAAACAGAGCTTACCTTTAGGTAATTTTGGAAAAACCATTTTAATATCCTCCAGTGTTTAAGGATAACAGACAAAACCTGGGGGAAGTTTCTTTCAGGACAATGAACTCTGCCTGGAAGAAATTTTGGCCAGACTGTGTCAGTCTGAGGCTTTGAGGCAGAGTCTGTAGTGAAGGATATTGTTTCTCTGGGTCAGTCCATGGGTTTGGAAATGTATGATGAGGATGTAGAGGAGTTGGTAGAGGATCACAAGAATGAGCTCACTACAGAAGAACTTCAAGACCTATACAAAGGCAGCAAGAAGTGGTTGAGGAAATTTCTTCAGAGGAGGAAGGAAGCAGGAAGGGCAACATTTCTATTGTAGAAATTAAGGAACTGTATTACCATTGGGCTCAAACAGAGCCTAGTAGAAAAATGGCATCCTAACATTACTGTTGTGATTAGGAGCAAGCAAGGGTTAGGCAAGCGAATTCTTCACTTGCCTAACCCTTGGGCACGACCTACTTCCACATTGGACAAATGTGACACCACCTACGACTGCTGCACCTCTCCTGCCATACGGTTTATAAGCTGCTTCTCCGCTCCTATGCCGTATTCTATTCAAGATTGATGGACTGACAACATCGACTCAAGGCTGAGGGACTGATTACCTCATTCTCCTCCTGTTCTTCAAGTTTATCCTTTGTATGGACTGATGAAGCCACTGTGTGGCGAAACGTTTCCTCATTAACCCTTTGACTGTCGCGGCCGTATATATACATTTGCGAGGTACCGTGTTTGACGTATATATACTCATAAATTCTAGCGGCTTCAAATCAGGCAGGAGAAAGCTAGTAGGCCCACATGTGAGAGAATGGGTCTGTGTGGTCAGTGTGCACCACATAAAAAAAATCCTGGAGCACGCAGTGCATAATGAGAAAAAAAAAACTCCGACCGTTTTTTTTAATTAAAATGCCGACTTTGTGGTCTATTTTCGTATAGTATTTTGTGGTTGTATTCTCGTTTTCTTGGTCTCATTTGATAGAATGGAAACTATATTATAGAAATGGAGGTGATTTTGATTAATTTTACTATAAAAAGAACCTGGAAATGGAGCACAAAGTACAGGAAATGTTTGATTTTTGCCGATGTTCAAAAGTAAACAAATGATGTCATTGTCCAATAAATGTCCAAATAGCCATTCTAATACGCAGTCATGAATGGGTTGATGTAATTTTTACAATTATTACAGTATTGCAGTAGTCTGCATAACAGTAAATCTTCTATTTTTTGTTTGAATAAAATTTCAAAATAAAAAGCAAGAGTAATATCACAGGGACCTGGAGACATGACTGATGAACAAAGAAAATGTTATTTTAGAGCCAGGAATGTCTGCATTGTTCATTACTGGACCTATTTTGAAATTGTCGTATATTTTTAATTTTCGTGAAATTGGCCAAATTGCAAATTTCTGACCATGTTATTGGGTAGTTGAAATCGGTAAATGGGCAGTTTCTTGTACTCAATCGATAGAAAAAATAGAGTTCTGAGAAATAGTTATGAGTTTGGTTGACTGGAATAACGGAATTAGCCGAAAATAGGGCTCAAAGTGGGCGAAATTGCCGATTTTTAAATATCGCCGAAGTCGCTAACTTCGCGAGAGCGTAATTCCGTCAGTTTTCCATCAAATTTCGTTTTTTTGGTGTCTTTACAATCGGGAAAAGATTCTCTATCATTTCATAAGAAAAAATAATTTTTTTTTTTTTTCGAAAATTTTGCGACACCAGAAGCAACTTCAGGATTTGGCCCTTCGACAGTCAAAGGGTTAAAGATACCCAAGAGTTGCACGTGTCTAATTTAACAACATGTCGGTTCTTTGAACCATTCATCTACAATCCTGTCAGACACTGCAACTTCTTGGGATCTTAATACTTGGGAATTCTTTGCTTGCCTAACCCTTGGGCACGACCTACTTCCACATTGGACAAATGTGACACCACCTACGACTGCTGCACCTCTCCTGCCATACGGTTTATAAGCTGCTTCTCCGCTCCTATGCCGTATTCTATTCAAGATTGATGGACTGACCACATCGACTCAAGGCTGAGGGACTGATTACCTCATTCTCCTCCTGTTCAAGTTTATCCTTTGTATGGACTGATGAAGCCACTGTGTGGCGAAATGTTTCCTCATTAAAGATACCCAAGAGTTGCACATGTGTCTAATTTAACGACAACATTCTTACCTCTACTAGTGGCCTACATCTCACCTCCTGGCGTTATATAAGGCTCCATCCTGTCAAGACTTTTATCATTGCAAGACACAGTCGCTCCTCACCTCAAGAAGTGTTCCTTCGATCCCCGTCGGGGAGTGGAACATATAATCACCGTAACAGCGCCTGACTTACTCCATGATGCTTGCAAACCGTGTAAGGATCAAACCCAACAGTGGAGTAATAAATGACTCTACTAAACTTTCCCTTGCTGCCACTGTAAAGACTTGCCTACAGGTTAAATTTACAGCCATCCACTCGACGAAAGACTCATTCATCGTCGTCTGTACTGATGATTATGAAGCCTCAAAGCTGATGGCTGACACATCTATGAAAACCCTCAGAGACCGACAGTTCACCATCTCCCCTTCACCTTTTATGCTGGCGAAACGTTCCGTTTTCGTCAAACGGCTGGACAAACTCGTCACTTCTTTATCAACTGAGGATCTCAAGACCTCTATCGAGGAACAAAATA